CACACCTTGTGCGCTTTCACCAAAAAAATTTCTCGGCTTTTTTTCCTTCACCGACTCCTCCGGACCCGTGAATAGCAAAAAAAAAAAAAAAATTATCCTATCCGACTTTAAATCCGTAGTCCACCAAACAGTGGATAGGATATGAAGAAATCCCAGGATTTCTTATCCTATCATATCCAGTCCTATCCTGTTTAGAATTCCGGACAACCAAACGCAGCCTTAGGGATATGATTCGTTGTGCTAATGGTTAAAAAAAGCTTCTTTGAAAAATGTAATATGTTACGCCTTGAGCAAAGAGGAGCGTTGGTACTCACACAAGTAGGGTTCGTTTGTTTTGCGGAAAATACACGTTTTGGAAAACATTTTCCTAAAAATTGATTGGTTATATCACTTATAATAATTAGCCAATTTTGGAAAATATTTTCCTAAAAATTGATTGATTATATCACTTATAATAATTAGCCAATAAAAAATATTTTCATTACTGACAATAATTTATGTCTAAACATTTTCACGAACAATAAAAATATTTTTTCATTATTCATTTTTGTAAGCGAAATAAGAGATCATTTTTAGAAAAAATGTTTTCCTAATCGTTCATTTTCCGTGAAACAAACGGACCTTAAATATTACTTTTTTTTGCTAAATAAATAAGAGATTATATCTATATATAGAGGGGAAAATCTTCATTTGTCTCACTTTTTTGTTTTCCATCAAATCCCTTATGAACTCATTTTTCTAATTGTAAGTCAAAGAAGGAAAAAAGGATAAAATTGATCAAGAAAATGATAAAAAGGTAAAACAAGGAGATTGACTGTCCACTTTCTATTAAGTAAGTGCATTTAGCGAATTCCTTAATTGCCCTCACACTGCAATCAACCTCATCCTTATACTCTACGTGAGAAATTTAGACTTATTTTCATTGATTTTTTGAATTGTAAATAAATGTTTGTTTTGGTTATTAAAAAAAAGGTAAACTGTCCATATAACTTTTTATTTTTAGAAAATAATTTATATAGGCTTAATTCAAAAAAAAAAGCACCAATTTTACCTTAAGTGATAATTCTAACCCGAATTTTTTTTTTCTCAACAAAAATCACAAACTTTTACTTAAATCCCAAATCTGGCCCGTACAATTTGAAAATTTTACATCACGGGAGCCAGATTTGAGATTACAGTGAAAGTTGGTGCTTTTTATTGAGACAAAAAAAATTCGAGCCAGAATTGTCACTCAAGGTAAAATTGGTGTTTTTTTTTTGAATTAGCCCAATTTATATAATAGTAAAAGAAGAAGATAATGTCAATTTCTTTTATTTCTCCGTGCAACTAAAGTTATGAATTTTATTATCAACTTCTTGTACGTACAAAGAATGAAAACTAATCTTGCGCGGGCTATGAAAATTAGTTCTTAATGAGAAACATGTACATTTAAGGGGCATAACGATGCTAGCAACTCTGTAACTAGGAAAAGGAGCATCAAATGAAGTCTGAATCTTCAGGATAGAGACCCAAAACCTCGACAACAATTAGATTGCAAATTTTCTAAAATTTCATGCAATTAGGCTCTATTTATTTCGCGGAAATTGAATGATTTGTGAAGCATTTTCCCAAAAAACCATCGCTTATATCGCTTACAAAAATGAATGAACAAAAAAATATTTTCATCGTCATCGTAAATGTTTAAGCATAAATTATTGTCAACAATAAAACATTTTCCATTGACTAATTACTTCAAGCGACACAATCCATCATTTTTAGGAAAATATTTTTCAAATTATTTATTTTTCGCGAAACAAACGGAGCCTTACGGTAGATTTATTCGACTTTTCAAGTTCCGTTTACGATTTTTCTTCCACCCCGAAGCTTAAACCGTTAAAAAAATATTCAATTTGAATATCATATTTTTGGAAGTCAATTCATTCATTCATTTATATTAGTACTTTTTAGCTGAACACAAGATTCATGGGGCAGCGACCCAATTGAAAATTCGAAAATTCCCAGCTTCTGCAACCACCTGGGAACGTGCATGCATCAACCCAAAAGGATTGAGATCGACCCTTTTTCTGATTCTTTGTTCTTGGGGCCAAACCGAAGAGCGAATTGAATTTAATTCAATTGAATTTGAATCTGCCTATTGAATTTATGACTGGAATGAGTCCCACGCACGATCCCTGCGTTTGCTATTCTCCATTCCCAGCGCGTCCCAGCTGGACCACTTTCTCAATACCAAACCCAACCTAACCTCACGCCCAACCTTCTCCCTAACATCCTGGTGCCAATTCCAAGCTCTGTCTCTCGCTAATCACTTGATTTTTTAGCTCTGTTTCCTGGTACTTAGAGAAACGAATGGTCCTGTTCCTAACATTGTATTACCAACCAAAAGGGCTCCTGCAGGCTACAACTGACTATTGAACATCATAATCTGACCTTATTTCCTTAAAAGCACTGTCCGGGGCAGCAATTGAATCCTCTGAACGCGACTAACGCGATGGAATAGCAGCTTGTGCTAATCTGATGTTGATTGGTGTCTGCTTCCCCGAGCAATTGGCCGTTGATAACCGGCCGAATCAATGGTAAAGTCCTTATATTCCCCGCATGTTGACAATTCAGAACTTAATCCCTGGATTATGTGGCTGAACAAATCGTGTTCAGTTCAAATTCCTACCACACACACAGACAACATAGAAAATTAAAAATTAGAAGGCCTGCTCTCGTCTGTGATGCAAACAACTATCTATCCACGACCTTGACAAGGTCACCAGGATGTAGAAAATGCATTTAAAATTGTCATACATTCAAGTATGTCTCTGGAGCTCATGACTCACAATCTATAAAAGCTCTCATAAGTTAAAGAAGCCATCATCCCCTTTTGAATTCATAGGCTCCAACACAGTACAAGAGGGAGAAATCTTCCTCGATTTCGAAATGGCGAGCTTACATGTCTTGTTGATGGCCCTCGTCCTGTGTGGAATTGCGCTGGATCAAAGCCATGTCGAGGCCAAGTTCTCCAAGAGCATGTACATCAACTGGGGCACTCAACATTGCTCCATTTCACCCAATGGCGAAGACGTCCAGCTTGTTTTGGACCAAATTTCGGGTAATGCCCGTATACCATGCTTTGTTTGAAGTTTGATGTTTTCTATCCTTCAGTTTCAGATTTCATGCCGGACTAAGTACATATCTAGGATCGACAGAAACAGTTTCAGTTGTTCAAAATAATGATTTCAACAATGAAGTGAACTCATTTATAGTGCATTAAAACAACAATCCAAGAGGACACATATGACATATCTACATAGAGACAATCATGCAAGAAATTGCGCAAGATTCGCTGCGGTTTTCTAAAGATAAAACTAGATCACAGGTCGATGCAGTAAGGGTCCATGCAGAAACTATTTGAAGACTGTTGCACTATATACATGGCAGCTGCACAAATCGAGCCTACCTTGACCACTAGAACTATAAAAAGGCTCTAGGGACCAGACTTGATAAATGTTCAGTGTCATTGATGACTTGCTTTTGCAGGCTCTGGTGTTCAATCAAAGAGGGCCTTCTTGTTTGGAAGCATTGAGATGCTAATCAAACTGGTACCTGGAAACTCTGCCGGAACAGTCACTGCATACTACGTAAGTGCAATAAATCGAACAAAGATACAGTCTTACAACCTCTGAAAGAGCTTATTGAGCTTTTTCCGTCATCTGCTACGCGAGCTAAGCATGCACAAAGCAGATCAAGCCATCCTTGTAAATGAAAGACTCTTGTATAACCCAATTGTTTAAATTCCTATTAACCTTTTAGAGCGCTTTGTATGCAGTAGCACATGCAGAGACTGGTCTAATCCCCCATACGTCGTATCTTTTTGCAGCTTTCGTCTACTGGAAGCAAGCACGATGAGATAGACTTTGAGTTCCTTGGCAACGTGTCCGGGCAACCATACATCATCCACACCAACATCTACGCACAAGGTGTCGGAAGCAGAGAACAACAATTTTACCCGTGGTTTGACCCAACAGATGCCTACCACAATTACACCGTCCACTGGAATCCAACAGAAGTTGTGTAAGTTAACTTCCTCTTCTTGTGTCCTTCTCCTCCAAAGATATCCTTCATGAGGAACAATGACAACAAAGTCTTAGTTAATCCATATCGTTCACTGTTCCTAATCTACTATGCAAGTACTTAATACCTCTCCACTAATCTGCAACCTTATCCTTGACCCTACTTTTAAATGAGTATATTACATTTCAAGATCACCAAGAATAACCGTAGACGTGACCATAACTTCAGGTGGTACGTCGATGGATTGCCAATTCGAGTATTCAGAAACTACGAGAGCGAGGGGATAGCATATCCAAACGAGCAAGGGATGAGGGTCTACTCGAGCCTATGGAATGCGGATAACTGGGCGACAAGAGGAGGTCTAGTCAAGATTGACTGGAACAGCGCACCATTCAGAGCAGGACTAAGTAATTTCAGACCGAGGGCTTGCAAGTGGAACGGACCTGTCAGCATAACCCAGTGCGCCACCACTTCGCCGGCTAACTGGTGGACAGCCCCGACCTATAGCCAACTGAGCTTTGCTAAGCTCGGGCAAATGAAGTGGGTCAGAGACAACTACATGATCTACGACTACTGCAACGACACCAAAAGGTTCAATGGCCAGATGCCTCCGGAATGCTCCAAACCTCAGTACTAAGAGAATGGTTGGCTCGACAGTATAACTGACACCCCGGCAACAAATTCAAGCAACACTAAATTATACTTCCTTCACCATACTATATCCAATTACCAGCACCCTTTTGTCCATCTACGAAATTTGTTTGCCCGTTTCCTCATGTTTTCCAACATTTGATCGTTTCTCTACTGTCATATTGTAATTGCCTTCGTAAACTATTGTGATCCTCCTGAAATTCTTTATAGATTGGATTTCAACTCAGCAGTTCATATCTCATTTTAGCAGACTATGAGCTAATCAGTCACAAGCAATGATGCAGAACAAAGAGCGAAAAAACTAAAATGGTTCAATTGAGCTGAAACAGAGCATAAATACAAACAACAGACGCAAAATTTGATCTGATAAGCGAGAAATAATAGCTTCATCGTATTCCACGAGATACAAAGCCAGACATTCACGAGATACAAAGCCAGACACCGAGAACAATAAGACCCGTACCCAGAACCGCGTGACCCAAGCGGGTCTCCTCGCCGAGGACCGCGCCGCAGACCGCGGTGGCGGCGAACGTGGTCGCGTTGGTCACGGGCACGGCGAGAGAGATCGGCGCGTGGCTCAGGATGGCGAAGAACGTGGCGGAGGCCGAGAGGTTGATCAAGAAAGGGACCGAGTACTGCCAGATCAAGATGAGGCCGAGCCAGCTCTCGAGCGAGGCGAGGACCCTCCGGTGGATCTTGCGGTGGTGTTGGGGCCCGGCGGGCGGCGGCGGCGACTTGAGGGACTGGTCCCAAAGGATCGCGCCCCGCCGCATGAGGGCGTTGGTGGCGCCCCAGACAAGGCCGACGGCGACCATCTTTTCTACGTCGCCGATCATCTCCGATGAGAGAGATCTTGGTTCGTCGCGGTTAAGGAACTCGCCGTCGCCGTCGCCGTCGCCGGAGGTGACACGAGGACGTTGAGCACTCCGACGCCGCTATATGGAAACGAGAGTCATTTGTGTACGTCTTCCAAATTATTTTATTTTAGGTTAGTACTGCAAAGCACCCAAAGTGGCACATTGCGATAAATTTTTCCTCCGGTTATTTTTATTAAATTTTATTATCAAATTTCTAAATTAGATGACACATGATAATTGATAGATGTGCTGGTTAGGAATTTTACCGTTAAAATACCCGTCGTTCGGCGAGAATGTTACTATTTTAGCCTAGGAATAGTAACTTTTATTTTTATTATTTTTTCCTTTTATGTTTTTTTCTTTTCCTTTTCTTTTTTTTTTCTTCTCTTCCTTCGCCGGCCGGCATGCGAAAATTATCACAAGTATATCGGTTTAGGATTTTTGGTGATCAAAATAATTAATTTGGGGTAAAATTTAGCAAAATACTCCATGTTAAATGAGGTTTATATTCCGTATTTGTATTCTCACACATAATGTCATCCTCTCATTTTCGGCTCCGATGCAGTTTAGTTCTTGTTCAGTAAGATGGAAAATTATTATCATGACATCACGGATTTATTAATTTGTAGGTTTTCGTAGTATTAATCTAATTTAACTAAATTAATATTTATAAAATAATTAATTTGGGTAAATTTAAAATACTCTATACCAACATGAGTTTTATTCATAATTCATTTTTTATCGGCATCTTCCATGTTCTAAGATGAAATATTATTTCATTAACCAACATGCATAATCATTTTTATCGGCATCTTCCATTTTCGGAGGCAATCACCAGAAACTCACACTCTACGCACGGGCATTTTACTCAACCGTCGCCAGCTCCATATTCATTTATCTTAAATAAATTCGCCGGAAACAACTGATATGGCACCCGAGAAAAGGAAAGTCTCTATATTTTAAATTAATATTTTAAAAGAAGACACGATATCTCGAAGCTTTACAATTAATATTTTAAAAGATATCTTACCCCAAAAAAAACAGAAGGAAAGTCTCAATAAAAGTTGTTGGAAAGGCCAAATCAGCACAAATTAGAAATGCCAGCAGGGCAACATCACATAAGGCTCATCCCATCCCCAATGACCTTATCCACTCGGGCAATAGCCGGTCAAAGTCAACCAACCCTTCTCAAATATTAAAAGAAAAAAAAAACTGAACCGAACTTAACCGAACCTCTCGCCTACCTCGATAAAATACCAAATCTGCCCTCCGATTTCTACCAAAAGAGGCCGTTGGTTGCTACCCCTTTAAAATTCGGGGAGACGGAAAAATTATTATTATTATTATTTTTAAAATAATTTCAAAATGATCCTATATATAAGAATTTCAGATAAAATTCGATCTGTCGTTAGTTGGCGAAGAAGCCCCCTCCCTCCTCCTCCTCCAGCTTCACAGACAAACAAATCGGAAACGCCACGAAAAAAAGAGAAGAAAAAAACCAAATATATACACGGAAAAAACCCAGCGAAAGGGCACCGGCAATCTCTCTCTCTCTCTCTCTCTCTCTCTATCTCTAAAACAGCTCCTCCATCGGATTTCGTAAAGCCCTAGCTGCTCTCTCTCTCTCTCGCCTTCCTCCTCCTTTATGCTGCTCCCGATCCGTCCCTCCCCATCCTCCCGCTCCGATCTGTAGCAGCAGCAGCAGCTCCGTCGCCGCCGCCGCCGTCGTCCGCCGTCCGCCATGGAGCGCGTCGTCGGCAGCAAGTACAAGCTCGGCCGCAAGATCGGCAGCGGATCCTTCGGCGAGATCTTCCTCGGTCGGTCCATCCGTGCTCTGGAACCTTTCTCTTTGTGCGTGCGCGTGTGCGTCTCTGTCGTTTGATTTGCGATCGAATTTTTCGATTTTGGAGAATTGAGGTTCGTTCGGGACGCGTTTGATTGATTCCCGGCGAGTTTGATTTTTGATCCTCTTTGCAGCGTCGCACATCGATACGCTGGAGATCGTCGCCGTGAAAATTGTGAGTTCCGAGCTGGCTGTTTCGTGCAGTTCTTCTAGTGCTTAGTCGTTGATGAATCGATGAGCTTCTTTTCTTCTTTTTATTTCTAGCTTGATCTGTGTTTCTCGATTGGTGAGGTGTCGCATGTGTACAATTGGATGTATCTGAGGGGTACTTTGGCGAGTGAGCTGAGTAGTCTTGCGTTGAGCAGATGGAGTTAGGATTGTTATGATCTGCTGTTCGTTTGACTCTGGAAACCCTTTGATCGACGAGCTTAATTCGCTGCTCAGGGGTGATTTTTTGTAGTCACTGTAGTTGCTCTTGTCGCAGGAGAACAACAAGACGAAACATCCCCAGCTGCTTTACGAGGCCAAGTTGTACAACATTCTTCAAGGAGGGAGTACGTGTCGTTTCCGCATTCGGGTACGGGGTGTTGTGTCGGCGCTTTATGTGGTTAATGACTTCGTTTTTCCTTTTTTCGCGTTGTTTAGGCGGTATTCCTAGCTGCAAGTGGGCTGGTGTGGATGGAGAAGATAACGTACTTGTTCTTGACTTGCTCGGACCCAGCCTTGAGGACTTGTTCGTGTACTGTGGGAGGAAGTTTTCGTTAAAGACAGTCATCATGCTGGCCGATCAAATGGTAAGTGTGAAAATTTTTGAAAATCTAGCAGTCAAGTGTGGAAAGATATCTATATCTTCTCCGCTTTATGGAGCATAAATCAGCCTGAAGTTCTTCTGGTTTTGCTTCTTTGGTACTTGTACAGACTGGCCAGGGCATGAGTTTAGCTTTTTCCCCTTTTACTCTTGGTGGTTTTTGAGAGTTATTTTTTAAGTTAGTTACTCATTCTACTCTTGCTTAGTGGTATCCTGGCTCTTGTTGCCCTCATGTAGTTTTTATTTTGTAGCTTACTAGAATTGAATATGTGCACTCGAAGGGATTTCTTCACAGAGACATCAAACCTGATAACTTTCTCATGGGTCTTGGTCGGAAAGCAAATCAGGTGAGGGTTATGATTTTTCAATGACGTCTGCTACTTTTGTTTTGAGGCAGCCTTTTTCGATTTATAATTGCCATTTGTCTCCTTTGTTTTTGGATGTCCAGGTTTATATAATTGATTTTGGGCTTGCAAAAAGATATCGAGATGCTACAACCAACCGGCATATCCCATATAGGTCTCCGCTCCGTCCCATAAACCATTTATTGTTGCTGAGCTCTTATCTCAACTGGATAGCAACGTCTTTGCCTACGCCCTTTATTTTTGTGTTTTTCACTTGCACAGATATTCTAATTTTTGTTTTCACAGTGACACGCATGAATAGATGATAGAAAATGATCGGTTGCACATTTAGAGTATTTAATCCATAGATTCATGGTTATGAGTTATTCCATTGCATGTGCAGGGAGAACAAAAATTTAACTGGCACTGCAAGGTATGCGAGTTGTAATACTCATCTTGGCATCGGTAAGTTACATATTCATATTATGATACTCTCATTTTGTGTCTGTCCTGTTAAGACTCCTGAACATTTTACAATATTTTATTCAGAACAAAGCCGTCGAGATGATCTGGAGTCACTGGGATATGTACTGCTATATTTTCTTAGAGGAAGGTAAAGCATCTTTCTCAGCTTTTTGTTGGCATTGGTTTTCCTGTGAGGAAATTGTGACTACCAATACATCTTTGGACAAAATGAAGATGCATGTATTATGATGTATAGTCTTTGGGGCCACTTTGCTTGTCTTATTGTATATGATGATAGCACGATGAAATTTCTATTTTCTGTAGCCTCCCGTGGCAGGGACTGAAGGCGGCCACAAAGAAGCAAAAATATGACAAAATATGTGAGAAGAAGTTATCAACTCCTATTGAGGTGTGCATCAGTTATTTGTTTTAACAAGTTCGCTGTCAGGTAATTATCCATAAATGACATTCTCTGAACGGTCATCTCTTCATGCTTCAAAGGTTTTATGCAAATCTCATCCGGTGGAATTCGCATCATATTTCCATTATTGTCACTCATTGACATTTGATCAACGACCAGATTATGGATTTTTAAAGCGCCTTTTCCGCGACTTGTTTTCTCGTGAAGGTATGGACTGTTCATTACAGGTAGATTCACATTAGAGAATACTTTGTTCGAAGAAACAGCATGCTAATTGGCACAGGTTATCGTTTACATTTTTCAAAAATTCGTTTCTGTTTCCATCAGATTAAGCATGCCCCATGCTCATGAATTTCTTTCTCGGTAATCCATATGGGATTCATTTGCTTTTCAGTACATGAGGTTGTTCGCATAGGTGGCAGATTTCATTTTCTTTTGATTGTTTCTCTTATAGCTGCTTCTTGAATTATTTGTACTGTGAATGATAAACAAGTAATAGAAGGCCCCTGTAGATGATTGTATTTACCAAAAAAAAGTTTAGTCCCTGTTTTTTTATGTATCTAGGGGTTTCCATAAGTGGCCGTAGTTATACATAAAAGGATGTAACTTATAGGTGGCAGGAATGGAAGAGAATCTGTTTTTATCATCAGTGAAGATAATAACCAAAAGTACACTCTTTAGTTAAAAAAATATGCGTTTCAGATCCACCTCAGGGAAGGATAATCTAGGATGTGCAATTGTTGAAGTATCATTTTGTTTCTTTGACTCAAAATGCTTTTTCTGGTTTCCTCTCCTTAGGATATGAGTTGGACTATGTGTTTGACTGGACCATCCTTAAGTACCAGCAAGCCCAAAAGAGCAAAACTCAGCCTCGGATGTCTGTGAGTATGATTATTTTAAGCACGCGCTCTAGGATTTATTTAGTCAATGATGTCGAGTTGATATTGGTGCATCTTTTGATTAGGCTTCTTGGTTTGATCATGAAAAGTATGAGCATCCAGGATATTTCTTTCTTTGTGATACTTGTTTATTTCAGTCTAGCTTGTTTTGGTCGAAAAAGTAAATGTTAACTGCAATCTGTTGAAAAGGATCAATTTGATTATGGTTACTTGTGATTTAAAATTGATATCTTGATTTCATCATGCCTTTAATAAGATTGAGTTCACTTTGACAGCCAGTTCCTGCGGGAAGCAGCAATCCTGCGGTGCCAATGAA